GAGAGAGAGAGAGAGAGAGAGAGAGAGAATATTGTGTACACTATAGCGCGGGTTCATTATAGAGAAAATTGTTTCTTAAATAACTTTATATTAAGCGTAAGAATAGAGAAATGTTTGTTTCAAAATAGATAGAAATTATTTTAATTTTTGATATAAATTATTAGGTAAAATGAAATTGTCTTTAAAATACAACGATATAACTCTGTTTGCAATTGTATTTGTAATTAAAACAATAAAGTCTGTTATTTATATAATTAATTGTGACGTTAATCGGCGGCAACGCTGTATTTGAATGAGTGTTGGCGTACATATGTGTGGACACCATCTGACCACCAGATTCAGGACCCGTGACAGCGAGTGATTAATTGCACTTACATTTGGGACACTGGCCGGGAGTGACGGCAAACAAATAGCACGAGCCCTGACACTTGTACACCGGACACGGCCTCTGACACCGACACGCCTGACACCCGTTATCGTCGATAATTGTGGTACAGTTAGTGCCCGCGCACTGAAGACCTTCCGGTATAAATGGCGGACATTTAACGGACTCTGGTTTGGGATCATCGGTAGGGAAACTGATGGCACCGGCGCTGTTGCCGGAGCTGTTGGTCTCTGCGTTAGACTTTTGTTTGCTGACAGTGTCGCCTGTGTTCACCACCGATGCTGTGGTAGTTGTCCTGACCGGTGGTCTGAAGGTGGGAACAGACGGCGGTAACTTCACTCGCGACCGCTCGACACAAGTAAAGTCCGGCGGTATTAGACACGTGCAGTCCGTCCGATCGTTTCGGCCGATGTCCAGCCGCTCGCCGATGCGATACCGGCGCCCATCGAACAGGCAGTGGTGCTCTTCGGGCGGCGCTATTGAGTATACCAATCAATATTATTATCAGTGGCCAGAAAATCAACGATAAATATAACTTACGGCAAAAGTAATCGATGGGACAACAGGTGCGCTCGTGGTATATGGGCAGACATCCGGCCCGAAACCTCGGGTTCGACTCCACGTGACAGCGGATCCGACGACAACTGCCGGTGCCGTTCATCGCCGGCGACTTGAGCTCATCCCAGCGCTCATCGCACGTACACTCTGTACAGTAGTCATCGTTGGGGTATATCCTCTCGCCGTACCGATACTCGCGACCGGCGTATTGGCAGTTCACCCGAGCGGCCAACTGGTCGCCAGTCGGGCAGTGAAGGCGCGGACAGCATTGGCCCTCTTCGTGAACGTTGTAACAGTAGGTCTGCGGCGATCGTAACTGATTAAAACAGTCCATTTCCGAGCACCGTATGGTCGGCTCCGACCGGTTGGTGTCCGCCAACCGGTTCTCAGCGCAATAACAGTCCCGATGGCACGGGTTGTCCACCGGGACTTTGGCATCGAAGGCATAGATCCTACCCTTGTATTCACAACCTGTGGACACAAATCGCGGCAAACAATTATAGCGAGTGTTTGTGAAAAGTTTGTGTAGTTTTTTTGCATCAGACTTACCGTTGGGCGCCGTTTGGTTGGCCTCCCGTTTGGGACAATCAAAATATTTGGGACACGACTGGCCGGCACAGGTGCCGTCGGCACTGCCCACTGGTTTACAGTTGCGGGCGGAGTAATGGATCAAATGGTTTTCATTGGGACAGTAGTGACATCCCGATGGGTCCGTATATAATGGCCGCAACCGGTTCTGTAGACTGGGCTGAACTACGGCCCCACCGCCCGACCCCTTGTCGTCCGTACTATCGGTTCCGTTCATGTTCTTGCGATCGATGGCCGACCGACTGGCCGGCAGCTCGAGCTCATAATCCCGGGCCCCTCTATACGCTTAATCCAGTGTTTAATTTATTTGATTATGAAATAAATTAATAATAAGTCTTAATTCACTTACTTTTGCGTTGGGCTTCAGATGTGGCCAATAATATCGATAAAACAATCGATATTGTAGTGAAATAATAGGAAAACATGCTTAGTTACTGAAACACCCAAGGTGCATTTATTTAATTAGACAATTTTTAAAAATTATAAAATAAATTTTAGTTAAAATTTCTAAATAAATAAGTTTTAAATGTTTTTATATACGAGTGATAAACTTGATTATTGAATGAATTTGTCATATAATTAAATGTAAAAACTTTTTACTTAAATTAATGTTTTAAAAAACAAACATAAAAAAGTTGCGTAAAATTAATGCGAAAAATCGCACACAAATGCAACAAAATTTCAAAGTAAATAAAACACTTAATTTGATTGCATATAAGCCTCGGAAATGTTGGTAAAATTACAAGTAATAAGTTATTAGTATTACTATTAACACACATTATCTTTACATATATTTACATTAATCGTTTTCACTGGTGTGGCAATCAATCGATGCCCCACTTGACGGGGGTATTGGGATTGAAGGGTAGGCTAGTGTTTGTACATTTTCGTGGAAAGACCTTGAACATTCTGTTGGGCAAAAATAAAATAAGTTAATATAAACTTGTAATTACTTAATATATACTTTTAATGATATGATTGATTAGGGTATGAATGAAATCTATTTATGATTTGCATTAATAAACAATTTTCGCTGTAAAAAATCAATGTTAAGTTGATTTGATTTTTCAATACGTTTTTTGCTTATTAAACACATTTAGCGATTGGTTTTGTGTATGAAATACTGGAAAGTTTTTTTTGTCAATAATTTAGCGTAAAATTAACTGATTTTCTAAGAAATTAGTTTACGTTTGAATTAATATTTGTTTTTGTAGTGTTTTTTGCTTACATCTCTCTCTCTCTCTCTCTCTCTCTCTCTCACATTAGTTATGGAAAAATCATTAGTTAATTACAATTACATAAATATTTATGAAATGTTTATGAATTTTATTATAGCATTTAAATGGAAAGAAATAAAATCGTTACAAACTTTATAATAATAATAATTAATATCAGAGTATTATTTACAGACTATTTGTTATAAACAATTGTATTTATAATATAGTAATAAATATTTTTAAATATTGTTTTTGTATGAAATAAATTGCATGTGTTTTACATATGGTTATAGTTTTTGTTGCGGCAATAAATAAAAACACACATTAATTAGAGCTCTAATTAAACATAAATCCTTTTAAATAATAATTAAATAATTAATCTATACTTTAAGCTGACATTTAGATTCAATTGCATTGAGTGTTCAATTGCTGTTTGTTTTGATACATATTGTTATGCGATTAAAAATAATTTAAAATTAAGTGACATTTTTATAATAATTAAAAACTATTAAAAGTAATAATAATTAAAAGTAATAAATAAGCGACGAATTTGTGTAGAAGTTATAATAATTATCAACAAAAATAGTTATATCTATAATAATATGTTTTGAAACACACAAAGTGTTTGTAATTATTAAATAATTATTTATAAAATAAACATTTAATTAAATAAATCATATCTTATGTTAAACACACATCTATTGGTTTGTTTCTCTTATAAGTTTTGTTTGTAAATTAAAAACACATTTTTTACAATTAAATAATTAATACAAAACATGAAACATATAATCATATAAATTAAAAAACTTCAAACACCGGTTCACTACTACCGGTGCCTCCGATGCTAATGAGGGAAACGGTATGTTCTGGCACTGCATATCTCTGTACTGTCTTTGCCTTTATATCTACTGTATATCTCTTATAAGAGGTATTCATAATAATTATAATAATAAATAATAAGTGGTTTTGTTTTGATAGTTATGAGAGTATTTAATAATGGAATGAATCAGTCAGTGATTGGCCAGTCGTCGGGCGACCCGCTGGTGGCCGCACAGACCGACCGGACAGTCGGGAAAAGTTTAGCCAAAAGTTGTGTGAAAATAATGAACAGAAAGAGTGTGTGAATGAATGAAAATTTAGTTACTGTGAAAATGGGATTATAAAACATAGTGTTTGAGCTGTAAGTGCGCAGATATGTCGGACACGGATGTGGCGGGAAAGTCGCACTCGCGGCACACGTAGCGGCACTGGCCGGCCATCAGTCGGCGGTCAAACATCGCCCGAATCAGCGCCAGTCGTTTGGTCTCTTCCATACAGAGAGCGAAACGGCCGATAGGGCACGAGTCGAGTACGCGCTGCCGTATCTGACGAGTCACCTCACGCTGTGAGGCGCCGACGGCTGCGGCCACTTCGGCGCGCAAGTCTTCAGCGGCCACTATCTCGCCGACAATCTCTATACTACCGCCGGACGAGTCGACCACCGGGTTATGGCCGCCATTACCGGCGCCGCCGCCACTCATATCCATGGGAAGCAATACGGCGTCGACGGGAAGCGGTTGGTCGGGCGGCGGCGGCGAACACTCAACCCACTCGTTGCGCACCGGACACAAGTGTTGGTCGTGAATGTGGCGTTTGATGGCACACCCGGTGCGGAAGATGAGCTCACAGATGGCGCACTGATTCAGTTTGACGCCCGACTCGATGACACGGCGCCGGAACTTATTGATATTGGGATTACCGCACGGACCGGCCATTGTCTTCCCGTTCTCGATGCCAAACCCGCACTGATGGTTGAGCTCGTGCTGCCGCAGTGTCGTGGGGTTGACGTACACACGACCGCAGTCGGGCTCTCGGCACCGGAACTCACGCGTCCGGAAGTGGGAACAGTTCAGGTGACGGGCCATGTGTTGCGAGCGGTGGGTTGAGAAGGTGCACAGTGTGCTCGACAACCGGTACAGACAGTAGTAGTACTTCTGACCGTCGACCACATCGGAGCGGTACCACTCGCGCAGCCGTTTCAACGACTGGAGGCCCTTGTAGTTCATGTCATTCAAGTGGGACACCTTCTCGTCCCGATTGATAGACCGGTCGGTGAGTCGACGCACTTTGAACCACTTGTTGGCCACCCGTAGGTAACCGCCGGCCACCACTTGCGTGCTGTGCGTCCACTGATTGGCCGCAATCTGCGGTTTGTGAGCGATTAGATTCAACGGTTTGGTCGTCAGATTGGCCGCCGTTTTGTCCACTCTTTGGCTGTGTTTGCGGCGGTGAAGAAGCATTGATTGCATGAAACCAAACGTCTTTCCGCACCCGTGTTCCGTACATTGGAAGCGCTTTGTGTCCCGTTTTTGTTCACCGGTGTTGTGGTGGCCGCCGACGCCCGGCTGAGCCACAGTGGAAGTCGCCGATTGGCCAAACGAGTAGTCCAATGGCCGCCCGTATGACTGGTAACCACTCATTTGATCCATTGACTGCTGTTGTTGCTGCTGCTGACGGTGGTAGTGGTGCTGCTGTTGTTGCTGATGGTATTGTTGCTGTTGCTGGTGATGATGGTATTCTTGTAGCGATTGTACTTCCATCGGGTGCTCTCTGCGGAACTTCTTATACGGCGGTCGCATCGAATGGTCACTCATTGGCACCGGTTTTTGGCTCATAAGCAGCTGCTGCTGATTGTGGTGTTGTTGTCGTTGCTGTTGGTGTGCATCCGATGGCGTCCACGACATCGCCGTCTGATTATTCACTGGACGACTATTTGATTGCATAGCGAAGTGATCACTCACTGGATCCTGAGATCGATTGGCGCCGCTCTCAGTGGTGGCGGCGGTGGCGGTCGACTGGCCGTACACCTGACGTTTGGCCAGACGTAGCAACAGATTGTTCATGTGCTCTCTCTTCTGCTGACGAATCACCTGATCATCCATCTGATCCGTCTGTTGCGTCAACGGGCGCTTCATTGACCGCACGGGTTGCCCACCAGTTCCGCCGGCGGTCGAAAACTGGCGCTCTCTTGGCGTGCAGTTGGCATCTATGGCGGCGGAGGCGGTGCCGACGGCTGCGGCGGACATATGGCTGACATCACGACTAGTGGTTGCGGAGGAAGCGTTGGCTTCAGCGGCAGCTGCGGCGGCGGCGGCGATGGCTGAGGCCGTGGTTATGATGGACGGTCGGGGCGGCCGGTGATACAGCTGTTGCTGCGGCGGCTGTGACTGTTGGTGATGATGGTTGTGGTGCTGTTGTGTCTGTTGGTGGTGATGGGTCTGTGGCTCTGGAGGTGTGGGTGTGTTGTTGTTGTGGTGCCGGTGCTGTTGCGGCCGCACGTGTTGGCGGACAATATGGCTGACAATATCCCTCTCCAACGGCTGACACTCATCGCACTGAAGGCATACGTACACCGGTTTGCCATCGATGGTCATCCGGTCGTAATAGTCTTCGGCGCTGGAAGTCATTGCTCTCTCACTCTCTTTGACTCCCTTTCGCTTTCAGAGACTGTCAGAGACTGTCAGAGACAGCGCACGACTGGAAGCGCTGGTCACCAGTGATCGCACACCCGGAGGAAGACCAGTGTATTTGGTAGTTGTGTGGCGTTGTCTCCCACTCTGGATGACGGCTTCGGTGGCGACTCTGGAAGTGACCACTGATTGAGTGATTGAAGACTTGTTTGACATATAATTGTGAAGTGAATGCAAAAAACAGACGATAAATATTGACTCAAATGTCCAGTAATTACGTCCGCCTATTGTTTGGCCTTTTAATTGATTTATTGCCCATTGTTTTAGTGCTTTATTCAGTTATAATCAATTACGACCGTTAATTAGCCCTATTGTATTGGGTGGGTGTTAGTTGATTATGGTGGTAATTAGTTAATTAATCGTGGTTTTAGTACAAAATAAAATATTTTTATTTAATTTTTTATAACTATTTTTACAAAGTTTTGTAGATTTAAGTATTTGTTTAAAAGTTTGGCCAAAATTTTATGAATACATTTTATGTAGATTTTAATTAATTAATTACCTTTACTCATTTTTAATCATTTTTAATCATTTTTAATCATTTTTAATCATTTTTATGAATGAATTAATTAATTGTATGTTTGCTTTAAGTATACCGCAGGAGAAATACTATTTAAAATAATTACAACAATTAAGTTGTATTTAAAATGAGTTTCAATTGAAGTTGAAGTTAAAAAACAACAAAAATTAAGTGAAAGGAGTATTTGTAACTTAAATAATGAAATTTTATAATTAATCACAAAATAAATGAGTTTACAATTAATTTGAACAGAAATTAAACTCAAATAAACATTAAATGAGATCTTAAACACATA